CCCCCCCCCATAAAAAATTAAAAAACCTCCCTTTTCCCCCCCCCCCCCCCCTTTTCCCAAAAAGAAATTATTATTTTAAAAAAAGAAAAATTTTAAATTTAAAAAACCACAAGAAAATGGCGAATCAGCCAAAACAAAACTCACCAACCCCCCCCCCCCCCAAAAAAAAAAACAAACAAACAAACAAACAAAACAAAACAAAAACAAAATAAAAACAAAACCAAAAAAGGCAATACATATTGAGACAAAACATAACAAAAAACATTTCAGAACTTTCCTTTAAGTAGTCATTGACGTGTTTCTATTTTTCTGGGTTGGGCTCATTTTTATTGAAACCATCTTTTAGTTTAGTTTTTGTAGAGGTTTTACGGCGTTCGCAACTGCATAAGGTCATATGAGCGCCAGAAGATTAGAGGTGTTACAAGAGAGTAACAAACATTGAAAGGAAGAAGGGGAGATAAGGATGATAGATGTTTGATTGGAAAGAAGAAGCAAACCACACCAGAGCACCCGCCAACAAACCATCTTTTGTCACTGCAGTCCTTCCATAATTTATTTCCGTGAAACTTTAAAATTTGGAATCAGATGTAATTACGAGTATATTATACCTAGACGTTTTGATTGGTCAACTTGTTTGACCTCTTCACCTTTGCTTTATGAGATTACAAATAGGATTTACTCGCTGAAATAAACATTTATGACGTTTCTGTTCGCTGCAAAATTAGGTCATATATTCTGGGCTGAGGACATTTATTATTCACACGGCTTGCTTCTATTCTATTGAATCAGAATTTTTATCACGCTCCTCGTCTTAATTGCGAGGTTTATAGAGTGGGTAATGCATGTAACGGATTCATAACCATACCCTCAACTGCTACTGCTACAGCTACACCTATTACTACTACTGCTACTACTACTGCTACTACTACTGCTACTACTACTACTACTACTACTACTACTACTACTGCTACTACTACTACTACTACTACTACTACTACTACTACTACTACTACTACTACTATTTTTAGTAGCACTGCTGCTGTTTATTGCTGATATCTAATACTTAACGTTGTTACTAACTTTTTACTTTGACTCAATTAATAACCCCTCTCTATAAATAGATTGTATGCTTTCCCCCAAAATAACATACTAACATTCTAAGCAACATTTTATGATATTGTTATTTTATATACGTGTATATTGAATGTTGGTGGTGGTATCATTCCTACCCTAGTGCTGTCAATATATCGTCATCTCAGAATTGGTCGTTTTTCAGCACAAGGGGGCTATCCCGAAAAATGCTGATTTAAGAAAATCGAAGGTAAAGTTTTTGCCCCTTGTTCAGTTTCTTTAAAAGGCAAGGAGAGTTTTCTCTATAACCAAACAAATATACACACCAATGAAATCAAACCTCTCCTATAGGTAGGGCAATGCCCACTTTTGGTGTAGGTCAAGATTTCTGGAAACCCCCGAAATCTGGGTTAGCCCGCTTGTCCTTAAAAGCGACCAATTACAAAGTTCTGTCTGATATTTTTAGCCGTTTTGAGTTACTAGACCATGAGGTCAGAAACTAAAATAATGTTCTATCTTCTCTATCAAAATTGTAAGATTTTTGTTTTGTTTTTGTAAGTGTTTTACGGCGCTCGCAACTGTATAAGGTCATATGAGCGCGTGGGACACATTAAACTTTTTCAGTTGGTAGGAAATTTTTAATTTTGCCCGGGTGGCGGCCGAAGCCTACTCTTATCGATTTTAGACCACTAAGGGATCTTTAACGAGCGCAACTTGCACACAGGCCCTCCGAGATTTTTCGCCCTTGTCCGAGAAGGCTAGGTGTAGAACTTTCCTACCAGAAGATCAGGGGTGTGGCTGAAAGACAGCAGTAAGAAGAAGCCAAGGAGTAGCAGTAGAACGGCTGTAGAAAGAATCAGCAGCCCAGAGGAGGGGGCAAGGGAGGTGAGGGGGTGGGGGCAGAAAGAGGAGACGAAAGCAGACGACAGAACATTGCTAGAGAGCAGGAAAGGAGGTGAAAGGAGACAAATGTAGAGAAGAACATTTTTCGGTCACTACCCGGATTCGAACCCGGGACCTTTTGAATGAGAGGCCAACACCTTAACCTCTAGGCCACGAGAGCCCCCAAATGTAAGATTATTCGGAGCCATTATCAAGATATTCCAAGAGTTGCATAAAAAAATACTTGACACTTTGAGAAGCTAGTAATTTTTAACATCAAATTTCTCAAAACTAGGTATTGAGCAGACAGAACCGTGTAATTCCTGGTCAGTAACATACCAAAATAATGATAATGTTTGTTTAATTACGTGATAAATGAATGCTATATGCCATCTGTAAATATTTTTAAAAAAATCTTGTTTAAAAGTTAAATCTACGTGATTTTGTTACTTTCTTTAAAACTTCCACGTTGTTGTCATTTTCTCGCTGGTTTTACCTCTGAAACTAAACAACCCCCCCC